TGAAGAAGAGGGGACACATGTTGATGTAGAAGAGACATGGAGAAGAGGGGACACATGTTGATGTAGAAGAGACATGAAGAAGAGGGGACACATGTTGATGTAGAAGAGACATGGAGAAGAGGGGACACATGTTGATGTAGAAGAGACATGAAGAAGAGGGGACACATGTTGATGTAGAAGAGACATGAAGAAGAGGGGACACATGTTGATGTAGAAGAGACATGAAGAAGTGGATTTTTCATAATAGGTGACCTTTAACACGGCCATCTATAGCTATAGAGGTACATCAATATAGTGTTACAAACTAAAGTTGTTTAAAAAATGACCACGAAGACAAGATGTGCCGACACCTAATTCCTCCAAATAAAGAAACGTGTTTGTGAGGATACAGTTTGGTAAACACATCTCCAGTTGGACTTTGTAGACCAACTCGGTGCTCTGTACATACAGCAGAGAGACCGAAGCATCTGTCTGATAATTAATATGCAAATGAGCTCCGCTGACCACTCAAGCATGCGTTGTCATTGCAGGAAATAAAATTGGCTCTGTTTCCGAGGCGGTGTCACAAACCTGACTTTCACATTGCACCCTGCGCTAAAACCTGAAGTTGTAAATAAGCTGCAAATGAATGTGAAACAATAAATGTGAAATGGTTCAGTTTGTGATTGAATATACAGTTATTTCTGTCAGGATTTCGGTTTTATTGTCACCTGTTTATACAGATGATAAAGTACAGAGATGATGAGATTTGAAGTACGCAGGTGATTCAGAAATCCAGAGAGGCGTATAACAATGTCTCGCCAAATAATCAAAGTAACAAACAATGACATCAAAAACTCAGGGGAGGAGAATGGCAAAAAGGAGTGTGCTTGTGTATTGTATTTGTACTTTAAGAAAGAAAAGTGAAGAGACAATGATGGAGGGTTATTTTGTGTTGTATACACCAGATCTTTTTTAAATAAGTCATTGTGGTTTAGCTTTTTGCTGACGTGATACTTTGCTTTTGTCCTTTAAACAGTGCAGATGCAGCCAATTCTTGAAATAAATAAACACTGAGGGCTTGTTATTGACATGTTAATTGATAAAGGTTATAGGAGATGATGGAAGTCATGTTCATTATGGTTGCATTCCTGTAACCCACAGTATCGGGCCTAGTAATGGACACAAAGCTGTATTATATTGTTGTGACTCGACAGATATGTTAGGTTTAGTTATGTTTTTACTCTAGTTTTGTGTTTTGATCTTGTCACTTCCTGTTTTTATTTTGAAAGTAATCTTTCCTCTCATTCCAGATCCCACATTTCCTGCCTTTGTGTGTTTCCCGCCCTTGAGATTGCTTGGCCCTGCCCTGATTGTTTTCACCTGTGCCCATCCCCCTCACCTATATATAGCCCTGGTGTTTCTTTGTTCCTTTGTCAGTTCGTTATGTTTCATGTCGTGAGAACCTGGGCCTTTTTTTACTCCCGATACCTACCTTGAGATTTAGACCTTTTGCCAAGTGAGTTTTTGTGTTGCTGTACAACTTAGCTTTGGCTGCTTTCTATTTTTTGAAAGTACGATTTAGTTTTTGTTATTAAAGAACATTCTATTTTTGGACAACTGTCTTCGAGTCCTGCTTTCGGGTCCTGCGTCCTGTGTCTCGGTTCATAACAGATGCTTATTGAATCTTGCCAGATTAAAATAACCAAGTGAAGATGAAATAAAGTTGGAGCATTTAGAAAGGAGAAGATAAACAAGACGATTATAGTGCTCCAATAAGCAGTGAACAAAACTGAATGTAGCCATTATTAATATTAAATACATGTATCGTTGCCTGCTGCAATGTTGTCAGTGGACTTCTGATTCCATCGAAAAATGTTTAGGTAATAAACTGTCACATAAAGACACAAAACGGCATACAAACACCTTGTCAAAGTTGAATCGTCAACAGTGTGTTTATGCCAGTAAATCACTTTTCTTATTAAGTAAGAATGTAAGGTTTCTTCTACCTTACATTCTTACAGAAAAGTGACTTTCCCGAGTTAACCAGCAGGTGGCGCTACAGGAGAGGTTGTGACACTGTATGATGTTGCAGTTCTTAGATGAGTGCTGTGACAGGTTTCCTCTCATGTCTCAACAGCACCGCCCAGCTCACCACACGCTGCCTCAGAAAACGGAGGAAATGAGCTGAGCAAAAAATCTTGACACATCAGAGCAGCTCATTTATCTGACATGTGCTACGTACAGGTTTCCTGAGTATACAAAACCAGATAACCAAATAAAACCTTTAATTCAAGAAGAAATTAGTTAAATAGATACATTATGGGAGCATCTTCTTCTGGCTTGCTGGATGAGGCAAAAATCAGCAACATCAAAGGTAAAACTGAGAGATCGCTTACTACTTTTTCATAGTCTGCAGAACACTTGATTATAATTATATATGGAGTCTCGTACCCTGTACTTCATACAGAGTGGATCATGGATAATAATGGATAAACAGGGAAGATGAAAGAGAAAGACAGAAAAAATGTAAAGTAAACGAGCAATTAGCAGTGAAAGTGTTGGTGGCACCATCATAGCAGAAGCACTACTATAGCAACTGGAGCAGCAGCAGTAGTAATACAAGTAGTAGTAATAGTGATATTTTAGCTCTTACAGGAGTACTGGCTGCAGCAGAGCAGTTTAGTTCATGTACCATTCTCTGTTTAACTGAGTGTCACATTCCAACCAAGTGTCTATCCTCAAATCCAGCATCATTATCTCATTCAGTCATGTATATACTGCCCATTTACGAATGATTTGCTCCGCTGTTTAAAGGCTTATTTATAGAGAGTCTGAATTAAGGTTTGCATTCAAGATAATGCACATTATTCATAAATTGGCTGAAATAGATGCAATGAGAACATTTTCTAGGGTGCAGACTCTATTTTCCGTCTTTTACATTTTATTTTGTCCAGCATCTAGTATTCATTGTCTCAATGTCCATGATTTTTTTTAATACTTTTTTGACCAAATGAACCCTGTGTAATCCAGCAGCACAGTATATTTAAATCTATGATCATTTTAGTGATTAGTGGTGTTTTACTGGACTACATTGTAATATTAGATGTTCTACTTGCATGGCGGGGCTTCAATTAATTTGACATTGTTTTTTATTGGATAGCATACAGCAAAGAGGAAGACAAGGAAACACGGGCAGGGGTGTGACCTGCAACAAACGAATCATAGACATCACACGCATTTACCAACTTTTTCCTTTTTGTTATAAAAATAAATATATATATTTTTTAATTACATTATAAATTTGACTTTCAAACCAACCTAGATTAAACACAAATGATGTGCTATGAGAATCGCTTAGCTCATGTCTATGTGTGCATTCCTATACATGTTATCAGCACAGTCACATCCTGTCAGTCACTAATCTCCTCCACTTTAATTACTGCCATTTCCAACTATTACATTATTATGGGCTGTGTGATCTCTGTGTGTGTGTGTGTGTGTGTGTGTGTGTGTGTGTGTGTGTGTGTGTGTGTGTGTGTGTGTGTGTGTGTGTGTGTGTGTGTGTGTGTGTGTGTGTGTGTGAGTGGGTGGGTGTGGGTGTGTCAGGCTACAGAGTGACCTAAACTGTGTATGATAATGGGCATTCACTTTAAACAAATGATAAAACGATAAACAACCGATTATGACAACTCATCAGGAGCCTCCAGTGGTGGAAGTACATTAATCCCATCTTTGTATAGAGTGGCGAAGTCCCGCCCATCTACTTCCGCCCCATGGGACCTTATTTCTGAAAAATGAGGTATTGAAGTCAATGGGGAGAGAAAGATTATCTTTCGATCCCGTTTGAATTGTGCCACGAATTACACATATGATGTTTGTCAATTTAAAAAATCATTTCCATGTCAAAAAAGTCAGTTTGTCTTAAAACTGTTGAAATATAAGACTATGAAAAATACGTAACTAGAAAGACTACAAATCCCAGAGTCGCGTAAGTGAATTTAGCTAGCTGACATTAACGTTAAACATTACACTCGTGTTACTCACCGAAACCTTGTAAAGCCGGTCCCGCATGCTGGAACCGACTAACTCCCCTTTTGTGTATGTACAGCTCTCAACATGCCCAGACTAGTGATTTTCACCTCTTTTAATACTTTTTGCTTCATTTTGAAAGAAAGAGGTGAAATGTGCTAACGTGACGGCCATCTTGGTGTTGGTGACGTATGCAAGACCAGAGTTGTAGTTCATTGAGCGCTTCACACAAAAAGATGTGTTACTTCACAGTTTTATGACACATTTTTATTTTTTTGACTTGCAAAATTATCTTTTAAATTGACAAAGATCATATGT